TTGTCCTCTCAGCACCACTTTTGCTGTGTCCCAAAGATTTTGGTATATTGTGTTTTCATTCTCGTTTGTGAGTAGGAATCAACTTGACAGTGCTTAACAATAACATCAATAAGAGTCTTGGTGTAGCACTATAGGATAAGCACTCAACGTAAGGTTGGTCAGAACCACAAGGTCTGTGGTTCAAACTCACCAGTTGCTCCTTGGAAACTCTATTCAGGGTCGCTCTGATTCGTAACCAACTTGATGGCACTTAATAATAACAATAGATAGAGAGGTAGTGGTGGTTTTGTGGTAGCATTTGGGCTTTCCATGTGAGACACCCAGGTTACATTCCCAACCAATATATCTCATGTACAGTCACAGACATCTGCCACTGGAGTCTGATGAATTGCGATGAAACTGAACAAGTGTCCGCGGAACTTCTAGACTGATATGGAGTAGGAAAACAGGCCAAAATTAGCCAATGAATAGCAACGGTCCTATCTGTAATTGTTGTGGCGGTGGTGTTGGACTAGTCAGTGTTTTATTCCATCATGTATTGGGTTGGTTCTAGGATTCAGGACCTGATTCAATGTCAGGTTAATAACAACAACAACAAAGTAAAGGAAACACAACCTGATGTTGGATGGACTGTCCAGAGGGAGAGAGAAGATAAACTCAAGGGTAGTGCCCCTTCCAGGCAAGAGTATTGCCATTCCAGTCATATTGCCATTCCTTGACACATGCAACCAGGAGGATGAGTGGTTTGGAGGGTGTGGACACAAAGGGAGATGATGAGTTCAAGTGAATATTCATGACTTTGAGATGCCTGTGAAATACCCATCAGGAAGATGGAATATGGATCTGGAGTTTGGAGAACTCATGTTGATCCAAGGCACAGATTTTCAAACTGCTCTTATATGGTGACAATTGAATGCCCAGGAAGAAGTGATGATAAAAGACCACGAGACACTAGATAAGCATGGAAGGGTTAATTTATGAGAGCTAGGTCCTATTGAGATTGAAGGTTTGTAACTTTGAGGAAAGATGCGTGATGGAGCTAGGAGAACAGGCCTGTGTGATAAGAGATTGGTTGATCTGAAGGTATGACCTCAGAAGAGGACCATCATGGGATGCAGGACAGTGGCTTGGGGTAGAAATTCTAGAGATAAATAGAAAAGATCCCTGGAGGTGAGGTGTCAAGGATGGGAAAGCCGAAGTGTTGTTAGCATTGTCTTCTCCTTGGGGTGGGCCATGTCAAGGAGGAATGGTGAGTTGAGGAAGATAATGGTAAGGTCAGTGGGTATCTCCAGGGATGGAGAGAGATGAAGAAAAGTGATGGGAAAATGTGTGTTTCCCTTGAGAAAGACAGAAAGGATGGGTCAGTGGAGTGTTTAGAAAGTATGAGGGGAGTCCAAGAGAGTCCAGTAATCCGGTATGGGAGTTGAACATAGACTCTGGAATGGGAAACACAAAAGATTCCGGCCTGAAAACTAAGGGAGAAGTTCAACAAACAGTGTTGGAGCAACTGGATATCCTAGGCACACAAATGAATCTCAGTGTAAACCTCACATCTTATGTAAAATGGACTCAAAATGGAACAAAGATTTCAATGTAAAATTAGAAAACATTTGGAAGAAAATTTTAGGAAAAAATCTTTGGTATCTAGCTCTCAGTGAAGAGTTCTTAGATAGGAAACCAAATCCATTTTTTTAAAAAAAGATAATTTGGGTTTGATCAAAATTTTTAGAAAACAAACAAAAACTTTTGCTTTATGAAAGATCTGTCAAGAGGATGAAAATACAAACTACAGACTATGAGGCAATATCTGCAAACCATATACTTGATGACAAAGATTTGTATCTAGATTATATAAAGAAATCTCAAAATTTAACAGTAAAAAGATAAATAATCCAATTAGACAATGGGCAAAATACATGAATGGACATTTCATCAAAGATGCTAGATAGATGGGAAATAAGCATGTGAAAAGACTCTCGGCATTATTAGCTGTTACAGAGATGAAAATTAAAACGATGGTAAAATAACATATTCAATGCAATACCCATCAAAATTCCAACAAGCTTCTTTACAGAAGCAGAAAACCCAATTCTAAAATTTAGGTTGAACTGCAAGGAGCCTCTAAATGGCCAAGGAAATCTTGTAAAAGATGAAAAAAAATAAGAGGAGTCAAATTTCCCAGTCTCAAACAATACTACAAAATTACAGCAATCAGTGTTTGTTGTTGTTAGGTACCATCGAGTCAGTACTGACCCATAGTGACATTATGCACAGGAGAACAAAACACTGCCCAGTCCTGGGCCAACCTCACTACTGTTGTCATGCTTGAGTCCATCGATGCTGCCACTTGGCCAATCCATCTCATTGGGGGTCTTCCTCTTTTTCTTTGACCCTCCACCTTACCAAACATGATATCCTTCTCCAGTAACTGGTCTCTTCTGTCAGTATGTCTGAAGTATGAGAGACAAAGTTTGGTCATCTTGGCCTCCAAGGAACATTCT